ATCACCCTTAAGACATCCATGAAATTACTTGTAATTGGCAGTAGTTCTTACAGACTGTTAACTTCTTTATGTTTGTTACAAAATTAATTGAGGCCATGTAGGTAGAGCTGCCTTCAACAGTGTGTGGGGTTAGGCCGATGCCGAGGCCCATCCCTGTTGTGAAATAAGTGTGTCCCTTTCCTCACATTGCAGATTTCACACTTCGTGCAGGAAAGGGGAGAATGGCAATTTTATTATGTTATCATGATGAATGCATAGCTCTCACCAAGGAACTAAGGGACAGTTTGCCCACTCTGGTCACACACGCACTCCACCTCTCTCTGTTAATAGCAAATCAGTGGACATCAAGGATAATTTTTTTTAATTTTTTGCCTGCCACAGATATGGCAGGACACGGTTGTGCAAGCATCGTGTCAGACAGGAAAGCACTTCCTTATTTTTGATGTGCTTTTGCATTTCTTTGCAATTAACATTCGCAAATTCTTGGTCTTGCAGGGCCCAAGCACAGGGCAGGGTGGAATACTTATGCTTTATTGGGATGCAGGGTGTTCCAGATCTGGGCTGTAAGCACATTACCATATGTGATCTGTTCATATACATATGGGATAAAATTGTGTGAGTGTGATGTCCAAGATCCTGGTATCCACACCTCCTTGTCTAATCTCACGTGCCAGTTACATTCCTCAGAAAGCCACTTCCTGGTAGTACCCTCTCCCAGGAATATATCTGGGGCAGCCATTAGGTTACGAACTATTTCTGTGGCAGGTGCATTCTTCTAAAATGGCCTGCCAGCATTCGTGTAGAGGGTGCCCTCCCTTGCTGCCTTCAGGAAGGCATATAATTCTTCTTTATTCCAGAGGTCATTTGTTGGAGGGTAAACTGTTATGGGAGATTTGGTTGTGTTTTTAACTGTTTATTGTTTTTAGATTGTCTCTGGGCACTTTTTGTGTCCTTGCAGCTGTTGTTGCTTTGGGAGCTGCCTTGGGGTGAGCAGATAAGGTGGGGTATAAATATTTTAAATAAATACATAAAATCCAAGGTGACTATTCTGCTCAGTGAAGACCATCTGGAAGCTGCAGTTGGTATGCTGTGGCCAGAGTGCTGACTGGAATGAGTCGTAGGGGCCATATCACTCCAGTCTTGTTCCGTCTACATTGCTTCCAGGCTCAATTCATTGTGCTTGTATTGACCTTTAAAGCCCTGCACGGCCTGGGACCTTCTCCCATATGAACCTGTCTATTCATTCTGGTCATCGTCAGAGGCCCTGCTTCAGTTGCCCTTGACAACTCAGGTTGGTGACTTGAAAAAGGGCTTTCTTAGTCGTGGCACCAAAACTCTGAACTTCCTCTCCAGGAAGATTTGTCTGTCTCCTTGTTTCAGTGTCTTCCACCAGCAGGTGAAGACTTATTTGTTTGGATTGGTGCACCCCCAATAATGGTTATTGACCCTCCTCCCTTGTTCTGGTGTTGTTTCTTTGTGTTTTATTGAATTGTTTTGTAATTTTAAATTATTGCAGTTGTTCTGATGTTTTTACGTTTGCTGCCAAGGCACCATAACAATGTTTTAAATAAAATAAATTTAATATTTTTCTGTTGTATGTGCAACAATTTTGTAAGTTTTGTCCTAGAGAAAGAGCAACAAATACTCTCCTGTTCTGTTTCAGGACTGCGCAATTATTGCAAGAGGTACCGTGAAGGGATAGTGCGTGTCTTGAAAAGCTTTGGGCCAATACCAGATTTTGCTGGAGCAACAGAAGATAAAATCTATGCGGTATGTGTGAAAATGGAAGTCGCGTGGACAATATTTGTTAGCTGCATTTGGCGTCATCTTGGTTGTTTTAGGGAGGTGGTTCTTGGGATGAGAATTCTCACATCAAACTTAGTCTTTCACTGGAAGTTTTAATGATCAATAAGTAAATCTTAATATAGATATTGAGAGCTGCAGAGTCCCTTCAGGAATTCTAGGCCTTGGCTGAGCTGCACACAGTATGGCCCTGCAGAGCCATATTGTTTGGGTTCTGCTACCAAATTAGGTGGAAGCCACACAGAACTATTGTTATAAAGGTGCTAGCTATAGTATTTTGGTACATGCACATTAAAGGCAAGGCAGTATGGCTTCTCTAGAAAAGAGGGAAACACAGAAGGCGCCAGGATACATTTTTAAAGACTCAGATATTGTGTTTGTATTCAGGCAATATTTATTATCCAAAGTGGTTTTTGCAATGTTTCGATTTCCTTGCTTTTGAGATCTAGTTGTCGTGATATGGAGCAAGTTTGAGCAAGTATATTGCAAAAACACTTACATGGTGTAACTCCCCTCCCCAAAAATAAGCTGTCCCTCTCCAGTCAGTCATTTCAAAACATTTCATTCTTTCCACTGTAGGACCGCTTCACAGTCTCTGTTCTGTTCTCTGCAGGTATAATCTGAGAACAGCCTGTCTCCTTGTTCTTATCTTACTGGCACCAGGATCTCTTAACATTCCAAGCCTGCCCTCCTCTCTATACATTGCAAAAATAATACCAGAATGCCTTGGTTATATACTATAGTGTCATTTATCTTGCCAAAGCAACTCTCATAAAACAGCATCTAAAGCAGCATTTGCTTTGTGATGTCTGTGAAGTGACAGTGCTGTTATCTCCATACATATAAGCCTCAATGGAAGGATACTTTTTTGTCAACTGATTGTGAAGGCCCTTGTGGTCCCATTGCCAAAGGGATGGGGAGACAGTGAGGCAACTGCCTATACTCCTGTGAATGCAAGAACAACAGACAAACTTCTGGGATAAAATGGCTACAACCTTCTCAGTTATAGCAGCTGTCAGAGCCTTGGCACAGCATGGAGCAACAGATCCAGGCATCAGCTGACCCTTACTGGCCAGTGTACCTCAGCCCGCCTGCTGGGGGGAGAATACCATGGGATCGCAGGGTGCAAGATTCCACTTGGGTGCAGGCATGAGGTTGACTGAGCCAGGCAGTGCAGCAGGGCCTTTAATAACGTAGCCGAGCAGACCAGAGGGAAAACTCCCTCAGCAAGGTCCGCTGGCCAGGGTCTTGCCATCAGCCATGCAAGGCTGCGCCTGATTGGCCAGGCTGGGGGAGGTGGCCTGGGGAGCCCCCACAGCCGCAGAGGACTCCCCAACTGTTGCCCCGTTGCGCCACCAGGCCCACACAGCCCAACAACAGCCACGCAACCTCATTCCTTGCCCACGCACACCTGCAAACGGGCCCAGATAAGTTTGTGGGGGGGGGGGTGCAGCTTTGCCTCCACAGCACACAAATGAATAGAAAACTCAAAATGCATACTTTATTTTCCATGACAGACTTTGGCCAGGCTTCAGTAACATTCAGTGTAGTAGAGCAAAATCCCCTAGGGATAAACCTGGTGAAACGGTGTTTGTTACTGGAGTACTTACACTGAATATACTACAGCATCATTAAAAGCAGGGGGATACAGGGAATTCCGTGATATATGCTATCAGGATGGCTTTTAACAATAGCTTTCCAACTTACAGTTTCTTCCTGTTGTTCTAGGCAATGTGTAAAGAGACTCCAGATGATGCAGAGCACTTGAACGCCAGAAGGCAATGGCGAGACAACTGCCTGGTGCACTTGGCAAAGCTGAAAAAGGAAATAAAATCCGAGGATTTGCATCATCATTAAGCCATGGGAGCAGCCACCATCAGGCTTGGGATACAAGTGGGTGCGTCCTTTCCACGGGCAAAATGAGAAGGAAGGGGTGATGCAACACGCGAAAGATAATTACAGTGGCGAAAGGCCAGTTGATCTGTACTGCTGTAGTCAGTTAATTACGATTAATATATTTTCATCTGAAGATCATCAGAAGCTTGATTCTAGATGTTGTTTTAAAGCCGCATCCTGAGGCCTCTTGAAGGCAAATGCGCAGAGTTCACTAGAACTGCATAAGGGGTATAGCTAATTATATTGCAGCTTTAAATACTTTTGAACCACTGGAATGAAATACGGTTTCCATTTTAAGTAACATCCTGTATTTTCGAACACAGATCGGGCAGCCACTGTATATCCGTAACTGTAATGTTTTAGGTTCTCCAGCCCCTGGATTTCTTCTTCATATTTTCATCATCTTGGATGTTAACAGCATTCAGTACATTCATACATCTGACAGAGTGGGGTCCAGCTCACAAAAACTTTACACCTTTTATAACCTTGCTTTTGGATTAATTGAAACCAGGTCTCTATTTTCAAGCATAAAAAGATGACTGCCTGTCCCTGTGGACTAAATTCATCTTTCTTTGGGCAGGGAAGAGCATCTTACCCCATCTATAATTATCATAATCTTAAATATATATGAAAGTGAGTATATCTCATGCATGTTAACGGACCTTACTTTCAAATAAACGTGCTTAGCTTCATGGCCTCTGTTATTGGTATCTATACTGGGTTGTTGGTATCTATACTGGGAGGACAACAGCGGGAATACATGATCAGCGCAATCCTCAGAACACTTTCTGGGAGTAAGCCCCAGCAAATAGATCTGAGTAGGGTTCTAAATAGACCTCCCTAGCATTGCTCTTGATGCTAACTGCAGGATAATGTACCTTTTTACTTGGCTTCATGTGTGAAGACTTTAGGTGTTAGCAAAGTACAGTTCTGCCACAATTCTGGTTGAAGAGAATGATTGTTTCTCTTACAAGCTCCTTTCCCCTAGGCCTTAGGTATCATAGAGACAACAATCAAATAAATGGCTCAGTCACTGGTTCATATGTACATTTGAGATCTTATACAGATTTTTTTAATTTTTTGTTAAAATCCATCTTAATACATACGGGGCTTTATTTTATTTTGGCCATTTCTGTGTCACCTTTCTGGTTTAAGAAAAGTGTTCTTTTTTCAGTGTAATAAAGTACAATCCTAGCAATAAAAATTTTAAAAGCATTAAGACAGTAAACGTTATTTAACACAAGATTAAAAACCAGGCCAAAAACTTACTTCTAAAAAGACCTTTTGAAAGTTAAAGAAGTCTTTTGCTGATGTCAGAAGGCCTGCAATGAGGGAGTTAAATATTATTCCACGAGTGGGGGGGGGGTCCAAAAGATTGGAGTTGGTTCCAGAGGTGCTCTTCTACCAACACTACAGCCCCCCTTGTCAGTGAAATGTTGCTTCTGACTGGAGGGCTGATTTTTGCAAATTCCCCCTCCCACTGGAGACGCCCCACTTTGCCCCCCCATATTGGAGGTCCTTGTCTTCCAGTACAGGATTTGGGGGGGCTAGAAGGATCCAACAGAAAGGGGGATGCAGGAAATTCCCCTTCCATGAGCATCACCCCGTTTGCAATACCAGTGATTTACAACTGCCATGATGACATTGATGCAAAGTTTTTATCAGCTGTGACGTCCACAGGCCACAAGCAACATAATTAATATTCTGAACAAAACGTATATAAACATCCAGGACCATGGAATCAAGAACAAATATATAGCAGATTAAATGTGCAAATTACAAATAAAAATAAATCCTACATTGGCCATTCCTACTGGCAATAAACTATCCAGCTGTTACTATAGTCAGAATTGCCCAATCTTGCAAAGAACTTAAATCTGGCTGGAGCTAATGTGACAGCTGCCATAGGATCTTTGGCAGCGATTCTAAGCATATTTACTTGGACGTAAGGTCTCATTCAGATGTGGGACTAATGTCTGAATTAACATGGATGAGATCAGAATGTTTATAACAAGAAGATGAAAGCATGACTTTTTTAAAAAGGTTGCATTCAGTCTTGAGGTGCTTAGCCTGATGACAGCACCACAGGGTTAGCAACAATCTAAAAGCAAACTGAAGTCTGCAAAGCATTTTGGCTGCTGCTTTATCTTGCAGAGCATACCCCAGAAAATGAACACGTCAGAAATACCCTGTACAAGTGGGAGCTTGCAGGAGATTGAGAGAAGGGTAGGAAGGAGTCTTTTTATCCCTTTGCTTCCCCTTCTTTTTTTCCCAGCAACGAATCAATCATTAGAAGTAGTACAGGAGGGGCTCAGAGAAAGCCTGAGCCTAATCCTTCCTGTCAATGGTAGTTTAATTCCCAAAACAATCACTGAGGGGAGGGAAGCGGCCTCAAGAGGCAACATGCCAAAGTAGCACATTGTTTCGGAGCCAAATTCTTTCCATCTCTCCTTCCCTGGTGGTTACTTCAGAGAGGTGAAGGGACTCTCAGGTGCAGTGGTGGCGTCTCGGCAGTCTTACAGAAGCTCTTTGTGTTGGCTGAGGGCTCAATTGTGTGTGATGCTGGGAGTCCTGTGAATAGCGCTCCCAACGTTTATTTTTCTTTAAAATTACCATTTGGGTGGGGGACCCGCAGGCCATGAGGGGAGGGAGCTCTAAGCTTTCCTTATGTGCCATGTCCCCAATGTGAAATACCTCTGGGATGTCACTGTTTGGTCCTCTTTTGCTCCAGTGGGCAAACAGCATCTCCCTGGGCCTGATCAGGAAAACAACAAAGTAAAGGTCAAATCCACTTCTCCCCTGGCTCCACAATTGTGATCAGAATTGAGGGCCCCTGCACATTATTTCTGAAGAAAATTAAGCACTAGGAATACTATTTACAGAAGCCCCCACCCCAGCAAGAAGCAAGCATTGGCTGCCAGTGATAGAATCATAGAATCACTGAGTTGGAAGAGGCCATCTAGTCCAACCTCCTGCTCAATGTACGATCAGCCTAGAGCATCCCTGACAAGTGTTTGTCCAGCCGTTGCTTAAAGACTGCCAGTGAGGAGAAGCTCACCATCTCCCTAGGCAGCTGATTCCTCTGTTGCACAACTCTTACTGTAAAAAGGGTTTTCCTAATATCCAGCCAGTACCTTCCTGCTCTGAATTTAAAATCATTATTGTGAATCCAATCCTCTGCTGCCAACAGGAACAGCTCCCTGCCCTCCTCTAAGAGACAGGCCTTCAAATACTTCAAGAGAGTAATCTTGTCCCTCCTCAGCCTCTTCTCCAGACTGAACATTCCCAAGTCCCTCAGCCTTTCCTCATAGGGCTTGGTCTCCAGGCACCCAATCATCCTCATCGCTCTCCTCGGCACCCGCTCCATTCTGTCCACATCCTTTTTGAAGTGAGGCCTCCAGAACTGCACAGAATACTCCAGGTGTGGCCTGAGCAATGCAGGGTACAGCATAAGGAAAGTGATCATACACATACTTCTTCATCCAGAATGGCTTTTGTGGTTGAGGGACATGTAGACATTTCATTTCATGAATAGATTTTCTTCTGTAGATAACCACCAGGCTGAATGAATATTGGCACAGGTTTTTATTGTGGGTGTGTATTTAATCAGGTGGGTAGCCATGTTGATCTGAAGCAGCAGAACAAAGTTTGAGTCCAGTGGCTCCTTTAAGACCAACAAAGTTTTATTCAAGGCATAAGTTTTCATGTGCATGCACACTTTTGGTCCTATAAACCAAGGGATTCTCATGGGCAACCACTGTGATACTGGGTTTTAAAAGATTTCTGTGAAGAACCAGATAATCTTGCTGGAACCTTTTCTGGTTAATCACTGCCTTGTTGTGTCTGGAAGCCTTGTTCTTTGTGACGGCTGCCAAAGGTCATATTTGTAGAATACACACTGGGGAATGAACCAGTGACCTCTGCCACTACAAGCAGAAATTGATGACCCGTAGCCTACAGAACTGAGATGTGTAGATGGTGGTTTTAGGGGCCTCTTGCTACATTACATTTATGTAACATAGGGAGGACTTCTGGATTTTCCTTCATGATTTAATCTTCCCACATTATGTTTTAAGAGGTTTTTTTTACTCTGGACTGCAAAGAGCTGAAGCCTGGACCTCCTTGGAAACCTATATAGCAAATCTATTAATGGACTATCCAGAGGTAAATGTGTTGCTCTGTGGAGATTTAAATGCTCTGACGATACAAACCTTGAATCTAAATATAAGGATTTCTTTAGTGCTCCCAATGACCCCTTTAAGCACTTCCTGCTTCCCAGGCTTTTTAAGGACTCAACTTCCAACCTCTCTAGTTTATATTTAGCTAAAATGGTCTCAAAACGGGGGCTTTATGTCTTAAATGGGACCTTCCCAGATGATTATCCAGCCGAATATACTTATATGTCAGGTCAAAGATTTAGTACCATTGACTACATGCTACCATGTGCCTATATATTACCTTCAGTAACCAATTTTAACGTGCTCCCTTATTTTGATAGTGATCATTTTCCTCTTCTTTTACACCTCCGGGTTGCCCCTCTATCCCAAGTTTCACCCCCACCTTCCATACAGGAAAGTTCTCCAGCAGTAGTAAGTCGCAGGGTGAGATGGGCTCCTCAGATACAGACTAGGCTCAAAGATGTAATCAGTGCTAAAGATCTTCAGTCCCTTATAACTGTTTGTCGGGAACCCAATTCACAGAGTGAACCCGTACTGGTTTATAGCAAACTTGTTCAGGAATTGAAAACTACTCTATCTGAAACTAAAGCCGCCCTGAGCCCGCTTGCGGGGAGGGCGGGGTAAAAATACCTAAATAAATAAATATAAATAAATAAAGGACATTCACTAACATCCCACAAAAATTCTAAACCTTGGTTTGATTTAGATTGCCAAAGTGCAAGAAAAGCCCTCTCTGCTCTCTATTACTCTTTTAAGAATCCAAATAGAAATCAAAGAACTGAAATTCAGCAAGAGCTCTGGGTCCAAAAAACCCCTATAAACAGCTAATTTTCCAAAAGAAAAAAAATTACGTTAACATGCTTTGATCTGAACTGATTAGAGCCACCAAACAGAAAAACTCCTCTATGTTTTGACAATTAATCTCTGACAGGAAACAAAATCCTTCCTGTCAAATAGACCCCCCCAATTTCTTCATATAAATGGTCCACCTTTTTAAACCAACTTTATAAGGACATCCCTCCCTCTCCAGTTACACCTGGAAATTTCAAAGGAATTGCTTCCTGGCCGCCTGTTTCCAAAGAGGAAATCAAATCTCATATTGTTAAATTGAAATCAGGTAAGGCTCCTGGGTTGGATGGATTGCCACTTGAATTTTTTAAAGAAAATATTGATTGGTGGGCACCCTCTCTTGCAGTTGTGTTTACTTTCATCGACTTTTCAGGCCTCATTCCCCCAGAATGGAGTACAGCAATAGTGTTCCCCCTATTTAAAAAAGGGAAAAGAGATGAGCCCGCCAATTATCGGCCTATCAGTTTATTAAATATAAGCAGTAAACTATATGCCAGACATCTTCTAGAAAAGTTGGTGTCTTGGCTGCATCAAGAAAATGTGATCGCAATAGAGCAGGCTGGGATCAGAGAGCATAGATCTACTTTGGACCACTGCCTTATCATTCAACATCTCATTGAAAAATATGCTGCAAAAGGCCCAACTTTGTTATTTGCCGCTTTTGTCGATCTGAAGGTAGCCTTTGATTCCATCTCAAGAATCAAATTGTGGGCCAATTTAGAATCATTTTCAATAGATAGGAGGTTATTACGTTCCCTGCATGACAACACCCACTTGAGGGTTAGGCTAAATAGGAAGGGAAATCTATCAGACCGTATTAATACCCATAGGGGAGTTAGACAAAGTTGTCTACTGGCCCCTTTTTATTTAATTTTTACATAAATGATATTGTAAGCTATCTGGATTCACCTAGCTTACACCCCCCAAAAATTACATCAACACCACGTTTCTATCCTGCTATATGCAGATGACACTGTCCTTTTGGCTAGAGATTTGCAGATTTCTGCATAAAGAAGGAACTGGAAATAAATTATCAAAAGACCTTTGGACCAAGACCAAAAGAAAAGGACTTGGACCA